TTTTCAGCTGCCTAAAAAGATCAAAATTTTGATTCAAATATCAAGAAATATCCAATTACCACTCCAACTTTACAACATAATAGCAAAATATAAAAAAAGTACTGAATAAAAGAAACTTACTATCAAGGTAGCTGGCAAGAGAAGTAGAGAGGTAAATATCTTCCGGGCCTGCCCAAGACATTGATGAGCTCAAAATAAGAATTCAATTTTTTCGGTTTCCCAAGAAACCCACAGAAATAACCAACACTTTCATTGAATCAAATTGCATTGGTAGCTCGGATTTCTCCAATTGTATTGCCTCCAATACCTCACGTCACTTCTTCTTCAAGAAAATATTTGAGAATTGATATTATTTGTATAAAACCCCAATTCAAGAAAAAAAGAATGGGGATTTGTTTTGACTTATTGTCAAAGTTCAGATCTGAAAACCCTAAACTCTGGTATGACATAGGCCTATCCGCAATCGGAGAGGACTGTGGAGGCGCAAAAATATGCTAGTTTATTAATGAGGTTTCGTAAAATCACCGTGAAATCGCTTCTTGTTCTTTTATCCTGCAAAAATGGATTATTTTTCTTTGCTATGAGGAATTATTATGTATTCATGAGAGAAATTGGAGAGAGGATGGCCGTGGAAAGGTGGATTCTCGAAGAATTTCAAGTTTATGATGATCAAGCTGTCCCCAAATTGAGCATAATATATTATAGAGGGAGAATTCAATTTCTTACTCGAGGAAAAGGCTAGACATACAAACTTGAATGGCTCTTCGACGTCGAAGAGAGAGGAGGCAGAGATGGGCCCAAACCACAGCGGTCGCAATGCTGTGTTCACAAAATAGTCGCCTCCCCAAGTCGACGTCGGAGTCGGAGCATCTCCTTCGTGGGCATCGACAAGAGAGAAGCCAGCGTCCAAAGAGAAGGAAGGATTGGAAGAAGAGGGAAGGATTGACTGGAGGAAGGGGAAGACATTGAACTGTGAATTAGGATTGGAGGTGTTACTGTTTCAAAACAGCTGTTTCCCGTGTTTTCCAATTTCTACGAATTTTGTATTGAAAACGCCCAAAATGACTTTTTCCTCATTTTGGTGTTTTGTGTATAAAAAATTTTTTGTTTTCAAAAACGCGTTTTCGAAAATATGAAAGAGAATGCGTTTTCATCATTTTGAAAAATCGAAAACAGAAAACGGTCCGAAAACGACAAAGAGAACAGGCCCTTAGTTTCCCTCTATTCTGATCTAACTAATTGCATTATAACCTTTTCTTTATAGTTTGCGCGTTTGAATGACGAACAAACAAAATTTCTTCTCTCTATCTCTTCATTTACAATACTTGGCGTTAAATCAATCATATCCGATGGGCCATCTAAACTATAAAGTTTCAGTATATGGTGTTTTCACTCCATTTATCGACATGTTGAACTGAAAAATACTTGAAACAGAAACTAAAATCTTGTTTATTGTAGTCTTATCTAATGCCGTAAACCAAATATGTCCCTCACATCAATTGTACCAAGAAAAAGAGGGTAAATTCTCAAACTTAATTAACAGGTGCAACAAGTACATGAACAAGGGACTAGGAAATGGTAAGAGCCAAACTTTTTTTCGATGCATCACGAAACAATCCTTGCTCATTCAAGTTTAATCATACTACACAACTCTTTCTTTGATTTACCCCCCACCCCATCCTCTTGGCCCCCATTATTTGGGATTATAATGTTTGGAATAGTATTTTTTGAAGCATGTGCGGTTGAAAAAGAATGATAAGTTTTTGGTTTCTGTATAATATTATTTTATTGGAGAATATGTGGTCAAAAAAAGAGAGAAAAATGTATTATATTCAGTCGGACCAGATTCTCATTGGCTAAAGGCTCTCGAAATTTCCTTAAAAATGTCGCTTCAATTGAGAATTTCACTCGTAAATCTCATGCATTACAAGAATGTAAATAAATTCAACTAAGAATTCTTCTATTCCTATTCATTGATCTAATCCAAGTATATGATCATTTTACACTGATTACTTCGTTTAGTACTGCTTTCAGCACTATAGCTCATGGAAGCCTTGCCTATTAGCTTTTTCCTTGGGTTGGATCTTAAAATTCATTGTCGCGATTGGACTGGAAATGACTATAGAGTGGAGACAGACTTTCACATTTGGCAATGCAATTTTCACTATAAATCATTTAAATAAAGATAAATGAGATTTGAAGTTTTGAACTATTCTTGGTTAGTCATTCAGTATTATCACAACCGTTCTCGTATCCATTTAACAATATACAACTTTAATTTTATCATGAAGAAGCACTAATCATTAAATTAATTAATAACTACACAACATTGAACTTCTTTAACGTTAAGAATTTTTTTTTGCAAAAAATAAAAATCTTTTAATGCACTGAAGAATGCGAAGATACGAATGTGATTTTTTGTCCAAGGATCATGACTCGAGAAATATGGGAATTATTAGTTATATGATAGAAATGACATGTAACAGTATTAGTGTAATAATTAGATAGAGAGTGATTTTCAGCCATGAAGACTTTATAACTATAAGATGGGTGTACAGGAGTCACAGAACACTCACAAAGGGGGATGTGGGTGGGTAAATCTTTTTACTTTTTTATTGAGGTGGGTCTGGGGGTTATGTGAGAACCTCCTTTTACACTCAGCTTTCCTCATTATTGGGCTTCTGTAGCTAGAACTTAACAGGTTACCTGTCATATACATGGGGACTATAATTTGTGCCAAGAAATCAAATTTTGAAAATTGGGCCCAATCATGCTATTATATTTAAAAGTTCAAAAGTTTATTTTAAAGTAATTTTACAATTTGGTACTACTTAAACTAACTCTAAAGTTACCCCCTCTCTACCGTTTACACTGTTAAGGATAAGAATTATGTTTCTTGTACATCACCCCTTACACAAGGGGTGACATAATGGCCAAGTGACGCCTCCTCATTGAATTTGGTACTACTTAAACTAACTCTAAAGTTACCCCCCTTTCTACCGTTTACACTGTTAAGGATAAGAATTATGTTTCTTGTACATCACCTCTTACTTAAGGGGTGACATAATGGCCAAGTGGCACCTTCTCACATTGGAGGCGCCACTTGGCCATTATGTCGAGGAGGTGCCATTTGACCATTATGTCACCCCTTGTGTAAGGGGTGATGTACCCCTAACAAGACCGTAAGGATAATGACCAGGCCATTATCTGCGCGACATTAGATGATAAATTTTTGATGTATTTGTTTACTTGTATAATTCCTATCCTTTAGAGTCCACAACATGTGGGTCTCCACTTGTAATTTTATATTTACACTCAATGCAAACGTGGTGAACTGTTTGCAGAGCTATCCTACTTCCTCCAATATTCTGTTGTTTCATTGTAATCAGAGCCTCACCAAAAGCGAACGCTTCCCATTTTCATTCTGATGGGAGATTCTGCGGTGACCTCTCATTCTTCAATGGCTTCCGCAACTCCTAAGGTCTCTGATCTTACGCAATTTGTTTTCGTCAAGTTAGGTGCTCTTGACTATCTCGCTTGGGTGTATCAGTTCCCGTCATTACTCCAGAGCAATGATCTTCTTGGCCTCATTGACGGTTTTAACTCTTCTCATCCAAAGTTTGTCGATGCCTTGGCCCGTCTTGCTGGAACTATCAATCCAGCTTTTGTTCTTTGGAAAAGACGTGATGCTGCCCTATCCTTAGTTGGCTTATATCTACATTGGAAAAACCTTTGGTGGCTTCAATGTATTGCATATGCACTTCTAAGGAAGCCTGGGAGTCTTTGGCAAGTAGGTTTGCCTCTCAGTCTAAGTCCCGAATTTCACTTTTAAAGAAATGGCTTCAGGCATTGCACCAATGTTCCATGCGCGGCGACGAGTTTCTCACCTCGGCTAAATTTATTGTCTGTCAATTATCCACGGCTCGTAATCCCATTGACGACGATGATCTCATTAATTATGGAGTGAATCCTCGTTTTACCATTTTTATCATTGTTAGAATTTCGTGATGACCCAAATTTTATTTTGGAGGTATATTTAAAGTTGGTTGTTTGCTTTGGAGAAATCTTGAAAAAGTAGAAGACCACAAGAAGTCAAATCAGTGTTTGAGACTCCTATTTCAACTCAAATACTCAGTTATTAATTTTACCTATAGTATTAAGACTTCATTTCATATTAAATCTTCGTGTATTAGTTCTTCTAGTGTTTTAGGGATTTTTTGATTATAAATATGTGGTGTACACATATATTGAGGTTAATCAATTGTCCAACTTATTAGTTTGGTCAAGGGAGATCCCTTGTACTCATTTGCAATTGATTATAGTGAATTCTCCATCTTTACTCGTGGTTTTCCCGGATTTGGTTTCCACATTAAATCTTGTCATATTTTCTCGACTTTAATATTCATAACAAGTGGTATAAGTTCTATCACCGAATTATTATAAATTGGCTTGTTTTACAACAATCATCTCATTATCCTTTGCTATGCGGGATAAGGTAATGGCGTTCTCCAAGTTTCGCTCAAGATTGCTCAACTATGAGCTTTTGCTCGATCAACATTAGCTGTAGTCTATTTCTATTGACCCCAAGATCAGACCCCTAAATTTTTATGCCAATAGGCCATCTAATCAATTCTCGTCACAGGGTAGGAAGAAATCTTCTACCTTTTCCAAGCCATGTATGGCTGCAGATAGTTCACAGCCTTGCACCACTCAGGCCTTGAGTTCTACATCTCATCTTGCACCAGGATGCTCCGATTGTCCATATCAAACTTGTGGTCGTGAGAACCACCATACCCTTGATTATTTTCGAAGATATGATTACGCCTTCCATGGGTGACACCCTTCTCGAAAATTGGCTGAGATGGTTGCAAAGAAGAATGCTGCTTAAATGAACAAAGACACTGCCCTCATGGCTCAGCATAATGATGGCTATCTTTCTCAGCGTTGGTTTGTTGATTCATGGGCTAATGCTGATTTGATTTTTGATGCTATTTCAGATCGACAACCACCTCCTGGTAATGAAACTATGACTGGTGTTGGTACGTCCTCGTCTCTCTTTATCTTATCTATCAGATCTAATTATTTGCATGCTACTTGCCCAATTCTAGCCCTAAGAATATCATTGCTTGTCCTCACGCTTCAACGAATTTAATTTCTATAAACCAACTTTGTCGAGATAATGATGTGTTATTTGAGCTAACTGCACATGATTTCACCGTGAAGGACATGAGGACGAGAGTGGTGCTACTCAAAGGATTTAGTGAGAATGGTCTTTACCCAATCAAGTTCAATGGCCTCTCCAGTAATAAAGTTCGTGGTCAGGTNTATAATCATCCATGTTGAAATCAATGAGAATGAAAATAGCAGAAGCATAAACATACCTTGATTGGCTTGATACATAGATTTCTGATTCTTAGCATGAATGAGTTACAATCGTCCAATTTGATTTGTGATCTTCTTTTCAATTTCGATCTCTGTTGATGGGGATGCAGAAAATCTAGAAGAATACAACAAATTGGGGACCATGACCCCATATAACCATAAGATAATGAATGGTCATTATCTTTCATTTGTTTCAAATCGGTCACTCATCAATCTAAAACAAACATCCGGTCTCTACACTTTAATTTCATGAAACCTAATACTCATTAATCAAAATCCATATTTAGTGGATCACTTTAATTGACTAATATCCTGTAAATAATAGCACCACACATTTTAATATACAACGTGTGACCTCAAATATGAGATTTGAAACAAATGAAAGATAATGACCATTCATTATCTTATGGTTATATGGGGTCATGGTCCCCAATTTGTTGTATTCTTCTAGATTTTCTGCATCCCCATCAACAGAGATCGAAATTGAAAAGAAGATCACAAATCAAATTGGACGATTGTAACTCATTCATGCTAAGAATCAGAAATCTATGTATCAAGCCAATCAAGGTATGTTTATGCTTCTGCTATTTTCATTCTCATTGATTTCAACATGGATGATTATATTTGAGAATTAAGGATTTTATTATTATTTTGATCGATAATCTCTTATTATGTTTTTCTAACACATAGTCTATTTGGCATTCTAGGTTAGGTCATCCTTATGCTCCAGTTCTCAAAAGGCTTGTTTGTTCTTTCAAATTTTCTTGTACCAAGTCTGAGGGAGTCTAGTGTTTGTTCGTCATGTGAAATGGGTAAATGTCGGCAACAACCTTTTAGTGCATCGACTAGAACTACTACCTCACCTTTGGAGCTCGTTCATTTTGATGTTTGGACATCTCCCATTGTTAAATTTAGTGGTTTTAATTATTATGTTATTTTTGTTGATGATTAGAGTTATTTACTTTTGTATCTTTTTATGAATAAATCGGATGTATTTTCTACTTTTGTTAAATTTAAAACTCTTGCGGAGAAACAATTTGATTGTCCAGTAAAATAACTTCAGAAGGATAATGGTGGACAATATAACTCTCGTCTATTTCAAAATTTCTTGAGCATGTATGGTATCCTTCACTGCCTTACATGTCTACACACCTCTCAGCAAAATGGTGTTGCGGAAAGGAAACATAGACATATAGTAGAAACTGACCTAACCTTCCTTGCACAATTAGGTCTGTTGGAAAATTATTTAATTTGCCATGTGTGCCAACATATGTAATTAATTGTGTATAAATGTTATCTTAAATTAAGCCCAAAATTAAAGTGATCTAATAAATAATTAAGTAATTGGGCTTTGGACATCTAAATAAAGTGTGGGCCGGATTATATGTATAGAGACCAGATCCATTAATTGAGCTTTGAGCATCTAAATAAGGTGTGACGGGACTATATGTGTAGAGACCGGATTCACTATGGTTTGTATTTGACGATGAGCCGAATACATATGGAAACTATATATGAGGTTATACTCCCCAATTCATATGTGATTTTTCATTCTTTGTGCTATCTCATCAACACAAGAATACAAAAGAAAATATATTGAAGAGGAAGATCCATAAACCTACAATCTAGAATCAAGAAGAAGGTTTGGAGCAATCAAATTGAAAATTTAAAGATCAAGATTCAAGATTTATTATTCAAGTTAGAAATCAATGGATCAAGATATGTTCCGCGTTAATTGAGTTTCTTGATGGTTTGACATGAAGATTTTGACAAGTTTATAAAATTTAAGCTTCATGAATAATTTCAACAAATGATATCAGAGCCAGGTTCATGTTAAAACATTGAGATTAAAGGAAAAATTTTAGGGTCGAAATTCATAATTAGGTTTTCTAAAAATTTTGGGATGTGAATTTTAAAACCTAGATATTAAAATTTTGGGTATTTTTAAATTTGAAAAATTCAAGGATTTAATTGTTGAATTTGAGTATAATTATTATTGATTGGATTAATATATTGACGGGTTCTCAAGGAAGGAAAACCATAATGGTTTTCTTTGCAAAAACGTTGAATATTGTCCACATGCCGTAAAAGGATTAAATTGGTTGACCTTAGTTTCTTGCATGATTAACTTTTATGCATGGTGAATTGAAATTTAGAGTGTGTTTGAGCCATATTATTTTAGAAGAATGTATTTTGAAATAGTTGATTGATGGAGAATGTGTGGTTGAAAAATAAGGAAAATTTTTTGATGTGATGGAAAATATTATTTTATTGAAAAATGTGTGATTGAAAATGAGTAGAAAAATAAAAATAAAAATTTTAAACATGCCTTAACGTCCTCATCTCAGTGCAACGGCCCTGCTTCATATATCCATTGTAAATTTGATATGTTAAGGGGCCTTATTTGTAATTTAAAATTAGGGTTTAATTTTATTGTTTCAGCTCCTACGGTTTACAACTTTAATTATTCAGCCCCTAAGTTGGGCCTTAAAGTTATGAGTTCTAATAATTCAGTCCATAAAGTTTGAAAATTAATTTATTTGGGCCATTAAAGTTCTGATTTTTGTAATTAAGCCCCTAAAAATTCATAATTGGTTTAAATTGGCCCCTAAAGTTTTGAATAATTAATTTTTGACTTCTAAAGTTTTCAACAATTAATTATTGACCCATAAAGTTCTGGAAAATTAATTGTTTGGTTTTTAAAATTCTGAATTATTAACCCTAGGCCCCTAAAGTTTAAAAATAAAATAAAAGAATTAAGGACTAACAATTATAATTCAAATTTTGGTATTAAATTTTTTTTTTGGATTACTAATTTTCCTGAATAAATTAATTGAAGCAGCATGTTATCAAAGTGACACATCTTGCCTAGATTAATTTATTTGGAATATTAGGAAGGTTGTGTACACGTAATTCATGCGGGTATTGACTGACCCAAATGAATGTTAATATTTGACCAAATTATTTATATACATGTGGTAATAAATATGTGACAATTATAAGATTTTGTTTTATGTGAACAATAAATCGCTTCAAAGATATGTTTATTATTTGACATAATTTATTGTCAATATTTGATTACTATACCAAGAGTACCACTTACAAGTTGGTATTTCTGTCCAAAGACTAAATATCAATGTTGTACTCCATCTCTTGTGATGGGGTTTACTATTATTTGAATTAATTAATTGTTTAATACGGATTCCTATGTGAACATGTTAATTAAGTATAAGTTCTCTATTCAGTTAATCCATCAACTTCTACAATATCTGCCAACATCAATTCAATTCCTGTGCTAAAACCAAAATTTAAGGACTGGAAAGAGAACGTTCAGATCGTTCTTGGCTGCATGAATTTAGATCTTGCGTTAAAGACTGAACAACCCGCTGCACTTACTGATAAAAGTTCCACTGATAAAANTTGCGTTTAGGACCGAACATCCCGCTGCACTTACGGATAAAAGTTCTGTTGATGAAAACAAGGACTTTAATAAGTGGGATTGCTCATACCGCATGAGTCTTATGATCATGAAGCGTGGTATTCCAAAATCATTCGGGGGCGCTGTGTCAGATAACGTGACTACTGCCAAAGAATTTCTTGCTGAAATTGAAAAAACGTTTCGCAAAGAGCAATAAGACTGAAACTAGTACACTTTTGGCAAACTTAGTTTCACTAAAGTATAAAGGTAAAGGAAATATTTAGGAGTACATCATGGAGATATCTCATATTGCTTCAAAATTAAAGGCAGTAAAGCTTGAGCCATCTGATGATTTGCTTATGTATTTAATTTTGATTTCTATTCTTACACAATTCGGTTAATTAAGGTCAGTCACATCTGTCAAAGGGAAAGTAGGCTCTTAATGAGCTCATTTCATATTGTGTACAAGAAGAAGGAATGTTAAAACATGATAAAATTGATATTACTCACTTGACAAGTACCTCTAAGGACTAGTAATAAAGAATAAGAAAGTTGCATCCGATTCGATTCAGAATAAATAGCGAAATAAATTTAGCTGCAACTTTTGTGAAAATCTGGGATATATAAAGAGAGACTGTACTAAATACCATGCTTAGCGTGTAAAGAAATGTATGTTTCTCACTTTGGTTTGTTCTGAGGTTAATTTAGTTTCAGTACCTAGACATACTTGGTGGATTGATTCTGGTGTCACTACTCATATAATTGTGTCTATTCAGGGTTGTCTGAATAGCCGAAAGTCAAATGATGCTGAAAGATTAGTCTACGTGGGCTACGGCAAATCAGTTGAAGTAGATGCTATAGGGAATTTTAGATTATTATTAAAGACTGATTTTTTTATTTGGATTTGAAATAGACTTTTGTGGTACCGTCTTTTAGACGAAATTTGGTTTCTATTTTTGTTTTGGACAAATTTGGTTACTCTTGTTCAATTGGAAATAGTCAGTTTAGTCTTTTTCTTGATTCAACTCTTGTGGGTA